ATGGTATATATATATATATATATATACAAATTATTGCTTAACTTACTTTTTTCAGGGAAGCTCCTATAGCTGTGATGCCGCCCATACTATGCCCAACAATTGCAGCTTTAGGAATGTTGACTGTATCCATAAAATGAAATAAATCATCAATATTCACTTTAAAATTGAAAACTTCACAATATTCACTCTCTCCATGATTTCTGAAATCAACAGCGAATGCCTAAAAACGTACAATATAAATTGAAAAACAGAAAATTGAATTCGAAAATAGAAATTTTTAGAAGAGAAATTTTTAAAACTTTAGAAGTGGGTATGTAATTTTAGATAATAAAATGTATTTAAAGCATTTGTTCATTTCTTACGTTATGTGCTGATTTTTTACATAAATTTATAGTAAAAAAATTATTCAGTCTGTAATATGTTTCGTTAATTATGCCTATATATTAAAACTTCCAAAACTTTCTTAATATTTAAAAAAAATAGACAATTAACTTTTTCCCTCACTTTCTATTCCAGAATTTGCAACAACTTAATTGTAAAAAATTATCGTTCTTTTTATAGACTTTTTCTGTATATTGGACAGTTTAAAGCTGTATGGGTAGACAAAAACGGTTCTTCTCAGTTTTTCATTCGATCCATTAACGGATTTAAACCGTCCATTCAAATTCTAGTTTTTGCTAAACAGATTTGCTTAAAGTTCGATTTTTTTAAAAATCATTTCTTATTTTTATTTTTATTTTTGCTCTTATTTTTTCAGAAATTATTATCTGGTTTTGAATATTATATAAGTAAAACTACGATACAAATTTAATGTCAAATCAATACTCTACCTGATTATTAATTTTTTTAAGATATAATTTTTCTTTAATTAATTTGTCGAACGTTTTTATACGAATGGACCATTATAGTTTAAAAAGTTTTACTACCTTTATTTCAATAAGTAAGATTTTTAAGCAAAAAAAATAAAAAAGGTCAGAGATTTTTCTCCATAGTGCTGCAATGACCATAGAGTAATCCATAGAGCTGCAATCTCCATAGAGCTGCAATGACTTAGGGGACAAAGCGCATGTTTCAAATCCCAGCGTCAACTGATAGTGCGAATGCTGCTTTTGGCTCGCACCGACCATAATGTTGACTTAGTTAATTTATCAAGTTCTTTTTTTTTCAAATTACAGAGTTTTTTTGCTAAAGTATTAGAGGTTTTTGTTAAAATAACAGTACTTATCTGCCAAAAAAAAAGGCGTCTGTTTTGAAATACCAGTATTTTTCTGTGAAACAAGCAATTTTGCACTTACACACCAGCTAACAGTTTTTTTTCGTAAGTTTAACAATTAACAGAAATCTGGGCTTTATTTTATGTAAACAGAATTGGATTAAGTTAACCTAATTTCCTTTCTCTCCACATTTTCCTCCTTTTCGTTGCAGTAATCTTGTTCGTTTCCTACCCCAGTACATTGTACTGAAACATGCGGGTGTTGGGGGGAAAGAGCAAGATATGTCAAATCCATGGTAACGAATGATGCAAATATGTGATGAATGGGAAAATCACGTAACCATAAGACGACTACTTTAATAATAAAAGATATAGATAGAAAGCTCCTCTTGCCATTGTAGTTGGAAGGAAACGATAGATTTTCTAAAATTGTCAGAAAAAGAAGGCTGTAAAATTCGGTTATCACATTTGATGAAATTCTATTAAGCTTCTTTTTCTTCCACTGAGGATACTGTGGTCGGTGCAAGCCAGGTGCGTAATTCGTATCGACCAGCCATCACTGGGATTCTAACATGATTCACCTCATCGGAAGGTGAACGCTCTATCCCGTTACGGCTCCACGAGAATAATTTAAAATCATTCTTTAATTACCTTTCGTTTTGTTCCATCTGCGATGGTTTGAGGAATATCACCCCAATTCTCTTTCGCTCCTGTGACTCCGTGAAGGAATATTACAGGATTCAACTTATCATCTGTACCAGTTGAAGGCTCAAATACCCTGTAAGCAAGTTTGGCTGGCGTGTAGCTATCAAATAAAGAATGTTGCTTAAATTCACTTCATTGTTTTAATTTTCAAAACTTACATTCATGTATAGTTTTTGAAAAATAAATTTAACGGTCTTTTATATGTAATCGAAAGAAAAAATTCATTTAATAATAAAGGGAATTTTTTATCAAAGTATTATTACTGTTAATAGAATAGGCATTTTAATGAAATTTAGAGTTCATTTTTAAATGAGATTTAGCATACATTAATGTTACTTTCAATTTGTAATAACACAGGGCTCATACGTACTTCGAAAAAATTAAAAAGTGGTAGTATTATTAATATAATGTTTTTGTAGCTACCAGAATATTTTATTTTCTCTAAGTAAATATATATAGTTCAGAAGGTGGCAGATACGAAATTTTATTTTGATAATGGATGCTAATATTAAGAAATTTTCATCTTCTTTATAATAAAATTGATTCTATAACATATTCTTTTGAGACTATTTTCGCTTAAAATATTTTCAAAGAAAAATAGTGTCAAATAACATTCAACTCTATTTATTATACCATTCATAAGAAACGTTGCAAAAAAGGTATTAAATGACTACTATGCCCAAAATTAAGAATTGAATTTAATAACTTTTGCTTTATTGATCGGAATTTTACACGATAAGACTATTCTAACGTAAGGTCTTAAAGCAATCTAAATAGGGTCCATTTTTGAAATATATTAGATAAACATATAAGTACTGCAAAATAGGGTTACTTAATACCTGAAGGGAGATGTAGTTGTCTCACACACGTTTTATTTATTTTTTATATATTAAATCTCGTGATAACAAAAATTAAGATAACAGTTCGGAAACTTTTCAACAGTCTTAAGAAAAGGCTATAAATATGTAACTGTAATAGGATATATTACAGTTACATATTTATAGCCTTTATATAAATATGTAATAGGCTATAAATATGTAAACAGTAACAATCATTTCTGTGATTATTAATGTGCATTGATCAGCAAAAATTGACATTTGACTGCGATGCTTTTGTATAGTGGTGCAACTAAGTCAAATCTCATCTGAATTACATATTAATGGTATCAATAAGATAAATTGATAATTAGATTTCTAGTATTGCGAATCTAATAGATGTACAAATATCGATTTTATTTATCACTTTAACCAAAAATATTGTACTTTGGATTTTGACCAAGTATTAATGTTTGGTTAGATGTTGATCAATGATGTAACCATGACTGTGAAGTAAAAAGTGATAAAGTTTGTTCTAGCATTACAGTAGAAGAGGTGACAAAAAATGAACTAATAATGCATGATGTTCAGATGTCGACAAGAGAAGAAAGGCCCTAGTTTCATCTAAGGCAAAAAAAAAGCAGAACACTTAACATAATCGACTGAATGATGGTGAATTAGTTCCAGAGAAATCAGGAAGAAATAAAAGATCTCACTTCCAAACAATATTTCTAATATTTTATGTTTCATTAAACAATGTAATTACTGGTTTAAATAGAATTAAATATAATAATAGAAGTGATATTAATAGTAGAATTTATAGTAATAATGGAATTAATAATAATAATAAAATTAATAATGGAAATAGAATTAATAATAATTATATAATTAACGACAATAATGTAACTATTCATAATTAATAATTAAAATAATAAATTTTATTCCTTCATTTTAAATTTTTTTATTTTTTATTTTCAAACAAAAGTATTTCTAGAATATTAAATAACGTTTGAGATATTTCACCTGATTAAAATCACGTAGTAATATATTTATACCACAGAAAATATATTTTTAAGGAATTTCCTTCACTCTTTGGAAGGAAGTATCATATATGATTTTAATAAAAAGTTGTGAAGATATATATTTCGAAAGTATTCAAATCTCTACGGAATCAATTAAAAAATAACCTTAAAGGAGGTACCAAGTCATTTCACTTCGGTAGCTAAAAATTTCTTTTTTGGCAAGTTATATTTTTGACTGGTTTACATTTTGACTAGTTGACCTATAAAAAAGTGTCAAAGAAAGATGTCATTAAAGATTTTTTTAAACAAAGCAATTAAATAGTAGAACAAAATCATATTCAAAAATAGAATTTTGTTTTGAATAAATTCATTTCAATTTTGTTGATTTGAATTTTATAAGTCTCAAAATGTGGGTAAATGAGATATTTAAAACATCTTGGAAGGGAAAAGAATTTCAAAGTTAGTTTCAGTAATGATACTTCATTTTTTTGTGATATAACCATATCTCTACAATAATGAGCTCGAACAAAAGATATTTAACATTCTATTATGAAACACTCTTACCTAAAATTTATTCAATACATTCAAATTTAATAAATTTTGTAATAATATGTAATACATGCATATTATAACGAAATTCATTTACATGATTTAAAGTTTCTTAATTTTGCATGCCATAGCCGAAAAAATGGAGTAAATAACTTTAAATGCAGCTCTTAATCAAAATCTCTTAAAAATCCGATTTATGTATTATTTAAAAAAAAAAGAATTCTTTTTTAAATAATGAACTATTAGTTAAATTGCACAAAAAAATGAATAATTTCAACATAAACTAAAGAGTTTTTTTTAGCTAATAGCATGATTGAATTTATGAGCATGAGTATGAGCTCAGTTTACGAAAAATTAATCCAGCTAGATAAGTATTAAATAAACACTGATCTCTCTTCCAATTCTTTCACAGTTTTTTTTTCGTGAAAAATCCGAACATCCAAAGAACTAATATCGCTAAATACAACAGCTTAATATACTTTTAAATCTAAAAATAATTCCAATTGAAATATATTAAGAATTACTAAAATAATGAATAATGTGGCATGAGTAATAACATTAATAAAAATGTTATTAAAGAAATTTTCAATTTTTTTTATTAGTTATTAAGATTTTTACTTCAAAGGTAATATTTTTTTAATGAAAAAGTAAGCTTAGTTTCAGAAGTGATAAGTATTCTCAAACTAAATATCAAGGAAAAATGTTTTTATATTTAACTACAGTTGTTGAAATATTTATAATTATAGTAAAATATGTTTAACTTACGTTTCCATTCTATAGAGTGAAGAATTTGAAAGGAATGCTATTTATTCATCTGTAATGACAAACAAGAAAGCTTCAAATGCTTGAAGTTTATACACTTTGAATGTTGATCACAAAAATTATCTGATAAGTATTTCATAACATGATGGATAACGCAGCTTTTATTTCTTATCTTAAGGCACAACTTGTTACATAAAAAGATTTTATTTCATTAAGCGTTTTGTGAATATCTCTATCGCCCAGAAATCCTGTTTTTTTTTATTGTGCGAAAATAACAATTTTGATTTTAAAAGTTTTTAAAAAGGAAAAAAAAAACTTTTTTTGTTGTTTCGTTCAAGTAGTTAACCAATACGTTTTGCTTGTAAATTTTTCTCTCAAAAATGCCTATTCTAAATAATTGAAAACATTTCGAAAGCCGGGAGACTCTCATGAAAGCCAGGAGACTTCATTGATAATGTCAATTTTAAACTAATAAAGATCTCAGGAGAAGGTGGTTATAAACATTACACTTCTCGGATGCTAATAACTAAATCCAAGAGCTTTCCATGCTCTCATGATGAAGAAGCCTCTGACAAGAGACTACAACACAATATCGGTACACTGTAAAAAAATCTCGGTAAATCTTTAAACAGTATTTGGTGCAAAGTTTTTCCTTATCCCAAAGTTTAGTTAAATAGAAGATCATTTTATTTTAGTGACACCATATATATTGTGAAGTTTGATCGATAGTGCAACTGACTGCGTTCGGTAAAAGAACTTTGACGGTTACTAAACTGAACGATATTTGTTCACGCTATACAACTCGGTGTTTCGGAAAGACTCCTTCATGTTGTTTCAATATATCAATTCATTTAGGTCCGTAAAAGTTTTGCTTGTATTCATTAGAGTTCATTTCTTTTATGCAGAATATTTAAATTTGGTTGGCTGTATAAAAGAGTTATGTTATAAAATAACCTACTTCCGATAAATAGTTTTGTTACGGTAAATAACAATCTTGGCTTGCATTTGAGTGTTTTAAAAATGCCTATTAATGATAAAAATTTTCTCTACTTTTATAAAGAAAAAAAAAAGAATAAAAATCAATGTTTTGTTTATGCAAAACACCTACTTTTGGTGCAACCTTCAACTGATATTTGGAGCTAGTGAAAATACCAAACTATGGGAAAATTGAGCTCCATTTTATGCAGCCAGAAAATGAATAGTGACTTTTGGTGCCATGTGGCTCGAGATTTATCGCACTGTAGAAGTAAAAGTGATAAGAAACAATAAGTCTCTGCAGTATCTGAGCCTGGAAACCAGTTTATCTCTCACAACTTAAAAAACGTAAGTTACCCTTTTTAATACCTGAGATTTTCAATTTCTAAGGAATAAACCAGAATAACATTATAAATGTTATATTTATATATATTTATATAAATTTTATGTTTAAGAGGGAGCAACACAATAAAATTTTTAAAAAAAATAAGCGAAAAATTATTGCATTTTTCGATAGTTCATCCTTTTTAAGATAATTGTACCAAAATATGGAATTGATTTTCGTTAAAATATAAAAGTTATATACAAAAGTTATATAATGAAAGTTAATAATATAATAATATATAAAAGTTATATTATTATATATTAAGTTATTATAAAAATATGCATTTTAATAATATATGCATAAAAATTTTGCATAATAATATAAAAATTATGCATAATAATATATGCATAATATATGCATATAAAAATATGCATAAAAATTTTAGTATAATTCTATCATTTTATCTATTTTATTGAAATAATGCGTTTAAGTTATGTAATAAGAATTAACGGTACTCTTAATAAAAATAGTTTAAATTTCTACTCATTTAACCGTACTTTTTTTTAATTAAAGATCAAACAGAACTAGAAGCCGGCAAATATAATTGACGATATCTTTAAAATATTTAATAAAATAGAATCGTCAATAGTTAAGCTTCAAACAAAGTCATTTAACCTATCAGTTTTGTGTTTTCCCTCATTCCGCTCGAATGGTTTATAGTGGAATGTCGATAGCGACCTTCCCCGTGCTTTGAACTGTTAGTATGCCAAATTTCACTGCTCTCGATTGAATAGCTTAAGACTCTATAAAGAACATTCCGACATTCATTTTTATACATATTGACAAAAAAAATGAATACTGATAGTCAAAACTTGAATATTAATTTTTTAATTTTGCTTTCACTTTTATTAAATGTCTTCCTTATTGTTTGGTAAGCAATAACAAACGTTAAACTTCAAAAGAAAGTTTCACGAAATTTTGATTTCATTTAATATAAAAATAATCAATATTTTTTTCACATATCTATAACTTCATTATTTCTTAAATGTTTTCGAAAAAGCATTATAATATATTTAATGCGAAGTTGGAATAAAAATCAAAACGGATTTAGAATCATTAAATTCTGAATGGAAAGACTTAAAATTGAAATTCTAATAAAACAATTTATAATTAGGATGTTTCTTACCAACCTCTATAAATGTTTCGCAATCTTTTTTTTCCCTTCTTTTCTGACAATAAACAAATAGTTAAATCAAAATTTAAAAATATTGACTTAAAAGCAAATGAGATTGTCAATCCATGGTTTGAAAAATTAACTTCTATTATAGTTATTGAAATTTATTGGTAATTTGTATTCAACTTTGAATAGCATATGTTAACGAGCATCGTTTTACTTAAAATTTACGAAAAATATTCATTTACCGCTTAAAAACATTTCAAACATTCAAATCATTTACCATTTGAAAAACGTAAAATTCTAAAACTTTAAATAAATACCATTTCAATAAAATAGTGGATAAGAAAGGTAATATGTGATTACTTCATAATGAAAAAACGACACTATTAATTTTAAACCTATAATTTGAATTATAATAATAATATATTGAATTAATGATAAGTAATGGTAAATGGTAATTTCAAGTTACATCAAATAATTAATAAAAAAGGTAAATATCGTTATAACTTATTATTTTTGTGCTGTTGACAGTCAAATATATTTGTATCTTCCTTGTTTTTTATTGGTCATAAAGAGAGATTTTTCTGTCCGAAAGGGATTTGGAAAAACGGCAAAAAAACATTGTTATGATATCTAGATAAATCTTTTAAATATATTATGTGTTCTAGTGCAAACAATAACATAAAATCATAAACATAAACACAATTCAATTTATTTAACATTCATCATTTAGCTTACAAATAAAAAGTAAATCAAAATGAAATTTATTTATTTTTAATATGAAATATGAGTGGTATAAAAGAAAAATAATTAACATAAAGACTTTTAAGTAATCAGTGGGATGATTCAAGAACATTTACTAAAGATTAAATGAATGAAACATTTACTTTTAACTGAATCAGTCATGAAAAAAAAGGAAATAATTAGAATAAGCACATTAACACATGTTTTTTTTAAGTAAATTTAAATTTGCTAAGGTTTATCATAGAATCACATATAAATCACATTCTAATTTTAAACTCATATTTAATAAATTTTGTTGTTCACTGTTTTGCTTTAAAACTTTATTTCAATTTTTAAAACAAAAGAAAAGAAGCTGTTTTTTTTTCTTCAGAAATTAAGAATACGGTTCTTGTATTACTTACCCTCACGTTTACGTGACATAATAAAACCCTTATAAGAAAATGTTCAAATACAGGTTACACCTTTAACTCTAACCAGTGTGCGGAAACGCTAAATACGTCTACCTTAATCATTAAATATCAATTCATTCTTTATTGCAGTCTTTCCTAGTTACTTATTCATCTTAAATAAATGAAGCATGAAAAGAATACTTTGGAGTTATGCCATCATACCTGGTTTATCTACTTTTTAAAAGCGTAATCATTTTTTTCGGCAAGTTTTTCAATTGCATGACATATATTTCGATTTAATTTTCGAAAAAGATATTTTCGAAAATCCAAAAAGTCTAAAATAGAATTGTTTTTTTACAAAATAGAAATCAATTCATCACAACCAATCAAATAAGTGATAAGAGATAAAACTGAAATGTTATCTTTAAAATGGAATATGCTCTACACATACATAAGAAAGATAACACTCATGATAACATATGGAAATAATTTTCATTTATTTTATTTGACAACTTGCTTGTCAAAGCCTGTTACTTTGTGAGATTTCAAAGGTATAAACTGGAGTTATTTTGAATTGAGTAATTTACAACTACAATGTCAAACGAAATTGCAGAGGCATATACATTTACATGGAAAATAGAAAACTTCTCCTTGTGTACACAAAAGATTGGCGAATTCATGCTCAGCCCTCCATTCACAACAGAAAACGTTGGCGACAGTATTTGGATTTTATCGCTGTTTCCCAAAGGTCAAGTTAAAAAAACAGAAGAGTATATTTCCTTGTATTTGAATAGATTTGAAGATGATATTCGTACCGATGTAAACAATATCGATGTGGAGCTTAAAATTATTGGTTCTGAAGGAAATATATTGCAAATTGTTAAAGGAGAAAATTTATTCATCCCTAAAGGATGTTCATGGGGATCTGAAAAATTTTTCAAACGAAACAAGATGGAAAAGTGGAAAGAAGATTTAATTACTATTTCTTGCTCCATCGTTAACAGGAAACGATTAAGTAGTAAGGCTAAAACTAAAATCTGTGCTGAGCATTATAATTTTAAGTGGAGCATAGGAATTTCAGAAAATATGAATACAGTAACGCAACAAGTGCACGACATACCTTTATTTAAAATTAATTTGGTGACTTCTAATGATAATATCACACTGACACTATGCAAACAAGAGAACATCACGACCGTTCCAAAACGGGTATCATGCAGAATTTCATTGTTAGACATACATGGATTTGAAGTGGATTCAAAACGAGCTGCTCATTCATTCCTTCCTGATGAAGATCATGTTTGGGAATTTCCCAATTTTATCACCACTGGATATTTGAATGAAAACGCAAGCACCATTCTTAGCAATGGAACTTTCACTTTACTTTTCAATTTTAGTTTTTCGAAAGAGAAGGAATCTATAAACATTTTAACACCTGAAGGGAATAATCATTCAAAACAAAACAACATCATACATTTGAAAGAAAATTTTGGAAACATGTATGATAATATGTTGCATTCAGATATAGAATTTCGAGTTAACGGCAGAACGTTCCATGCTCATAAATCCATTTTGGCTGCTCGATCCCCCGTATTCACAGCCATGTTTGAGCAAGATATGGTCGAAAGTCAGACTGGCATTGTCAATATTTCGAATGTTGAGCCCGATATTTTTGAATCATTTTTGAAATACGTATACACTGCCTCAGTAGACAATATGACTTGGGATATCACAATTAGACTCTTGATAGTGGCGGATCAATATCAAGTAGACGCTCTGCGGATAGACTCTAGTTGCTTTTTGAAGTCTAATTTGAGTAATCAAAATTTCTATGAAGTACTTGAATTGTCCGATGCGATAAATTACAAGAATCTAAAACAATTTGTGTTCGAGTATGTGGCGGATAATGCCGAAGAGATTTTGTCTTCCTCCGATTGGGCGGATTGGACTGAAAATAATGCTAGATTATCAGCGGAAGTGATGTCAAATATTTCAAATACTTTTGAAAATATCCACTAAAAATTATAGGTAGGTTACCTTTTTTATAAAAAAAAAAGTGTAACGCTTTTGTAAGGCTTTTCTTAAAAAAGGTTTCAAAATATTTATTTTTTATTTATTATGGGAAAGGTTTTTAAGGCGACACGCTCTCTTTGAAATTAAGATGAAAACTTAACAATTTTTATGAATTACAATTACTATGAGTATATTAATGTACCAATATGAATCTTTAAGGATTCGCCAAAATTGCGAAACCCAAAGTCTCCGCAAGGATATTTTAAACAAAAAAATGTTAACAAATCTGAAAAATCTTGAAAAATTGTGATGGATCCAAAATAGTAGTAAAACATGATATATGTGTGAGCTCTTACTGTTATAATCTTTGACCATGGTGAATTATAGGCAGTTTTTTAACAAAAAAGATTATGTAAACTTAATAAAGTATTATCTGACATTAGACTAAAGTTAGACATTAGACTAAAATCGAAATACGAAACATCATCAAAATAAATTGTTTAAAACACCAGTCATCTTCACATTGCAGAAAATAAAACCCTTCAGTCTTCTTAATTGACATCTTTAAACAGCCACCAAAGGTTTTAGAGATTGTTTTTAATTGAGTTTATCATCTTCATTGGTAATTATAAGAGTATTTGCATATTATCATACATTAAACCATCATAGATTAAGCACCTTTCATCTACTTTATATTTCCATGAGATAATTTGCATACTTAATGTTTATGAAGGAACAGGAAAAACCAAACGTTAAATTAAAAAACATAAACCTAAAATGAACCAAACATAAAATAACCAAACATAAACTTAAAAGAAACCAAACGTAAACCTAAAATAACTAACAGGAAAGACCAAACATAACCTTGCTTCAAAAAGCACTTGCAAGCAACAAAGAACGAAAAAATATATTTTGTAGAGACATAGGAACTATTTGAAAGGTTGCTTTTGTGAAAAACATTATATTAGGATAACCCACAGGAAATGTCAAATCTGATTTTAAGGAATTACTTACTAATACATTTTGTCAAAAGCTATCATATTTAACTAAAAATTGAGAGGCTAGTGTGCAATTATAAAATCTCCTAATTACCTTTATGATTGTGGGTAACATAGCTGTTTCAGTTAGTGAAAGAACGAGACACCAGAGTTAGCGCTGTCGATTCTGGATATTTTATTCTAAAAAGTTTGAATTTGATTTTTAAAAATTTGTTTATCGTCTCATGAAGAAACAATGCTGAATACGAAACAATCGTGGTGAATTTTTGAGAGAGTGCGTGTGGTGAGGAAAACGCCCAAGTTTAAACAATGTTTAAATGTTGGCTATATGAAAAGGTATTGTAATATGAGTAGTCATTCAGGGAAATAATTATAGTATTGCAGTTGTTGTTATATCATAAGCTCAAATATAAAACGTTAAGGTAAAGAGACAAGAGGGATTTTATATATGCGAAAAAATATACGACTAAATATTCGATATTGAAATATTTTATTTTCGTTATTGCGGAATTTCGAGTTTACGAAATTTTAAGTGTCTCCCTTCGAATTCGTAATATCGAGGTTCTAACTTATGTGAGTATACTATATCTCTTTATTTCTGGGTCTCGAAAGCATCAATATGATGGGTTAAACTTCGGTCATAATTGTTTTTCACCCGGGTATTAGATTATTTTGAAATGCACTCCTTTATAGTATTTTCTTATGTAAGCCACTACAATATAGGAAAATATAATCTTATCAAAAATCGGCAGTTTCATTTTCATAAAGAGAATCGAAGATTACATATCAATTATAATATTATCTCATCGGTAGATTAGGGAGTGTCTTCTTGCACTATAGCGGAATATTCGAATGATAAAGATGCATTTATTAAAACACCACTGAGTTCGTTATTCTCCAAGAACGAGTGATACAAATTTAAAATTACTTACAAATTCTTCTATACGAATTTTATGTTTACCCAATTACCTCAGAATAAGAGTAAAATATGTGTTAAAATATATAATTAATTTCAAGTTGGTGATTTTAAAAATAATTCTTCTAAAATAGTGCATATAAATCAATCATTTCGTTCTGCGTCTATTCAATGTAACAAAAAATATTTTTAAGCACCATTTCTACGCAATTATTACATTATCTGTTAATGTTTTAAATAATTTTATAATTACTTGGAATAAACCAGTGCGGTCGCAGTTTGAAAAAATACGAAAGTGTAAGAAAATAGAATAATAACTATAATTGATATAATCAACCAGTCAATATTATTCGTAAAGCAAATATAAATAATGTTCAAATTGGAAGATTGGAATTCTTAAAATTAAAGTGAAATTATATCCATTTCTAAGTTAAATGGAGCAACGAATGTAACACTGTAAAAAAAAAAAAAAAAAAAAAAAAAAAAAAAAAAAAAAAAAAAAANGTTGAACAGGAATCAAGAAAATTGTGAAGTAGGTTCAGAAACTGGTCTAAATAGCTTTTTTTATTGCAAGTTGAACTTTGGACCAAATGTAATTGGAAAGAAATACTAATTAGTTTGTTGAATCTCAACTAATATATATATATATATATATATATATATATTTAAAAGAAAATTAAGAAAAACATTAAGTTTAATTTATTGCGCATAAGCTGCAAGTAAATAGAACTCATAAAATAAGTTCAAAAGGTAGAGAAAACAAGGGAAAAATTACAGAACAATGAAGAAAGGGGGAAAAAGAAAAATAATAATAAAAATAACAAAAAACCGGACAAAAATGGACAAAAAAATTTTTAAAAAATCCAGAAAATAAAAGATGTAATCTTTTTATCAGCTCACACTATTATATCGGTTAAAAAGAGTGCTTTCTAATATTGCATCAATATAGTCAAAGCAAAATATATCAATACAATAGTGTGAGAAGCACTCAAAAGATTTTACAAAAAAATTACAACAGATAAAAAAAATAGAACACAATAAGTAGAAATATCACGTAAAAACAGAAAATTAAATATAAAGAAAAAACAGAATATAACATGAAATGAAGTCTACAAAGCGAGCAGCGAATTCAAATGAACTTACATGAACGGGAAATTTTTCAAGAACGATTTAAAAATTTTTCGTAACGTGATTGCCAGATTGCAAAAATTGAAAAAAGCGTAAATTGAGCTAAAAGCGTAACTAGGGAGTTTTGTATAAAGTGCGTTCTTGCTGCATCACTGAAGTGCGTTTGATTTGTTAGTTACCAAGAAAGGGACCGAAAATGGATGGGCGCAATGTCATATTATAGTAGATAATTTAAAGAAGTTGAAAATAAATAATTTTAGAAAATAAATATTTATTTAGGAAAAAAAATATATATATAACATAGAAAAGAGAAAGAAACATAAATTGCCTGTTTTGCACCTAATTTTAGTTACAGATTTGTCCGAAATGGATTTGCACTTGGATATAATTTTTCTATGTGCAAATTTATTTCGGGCCCATCCTTGGTAACTAAAAACTCAAACGCACTTCAGTAATGCAGCAAGAACGCACTTTAATACATAACTCCTCTAGTTACGCTTTTTGCTCAATTTGGGCTTTTGTTTTCAATTTTTGAAATCTGGCAATCTCGTTACGAAAATATTTTAAATCATTCTTGAAAAATTTCTCTTTCATGTAAGTTCATTTGAATTCGTTACGTGCTTTATAGACTTCATTTCATGTCATATTCTGTTTTTTCTTCATATTTTATTTTCTGTTTTTACGTGATATTTTTACTTATTGTGTTCTATTTTATTTTATTTGCTGTAATTTTTTTGTAAAATCTTTTGAGTGCTTCTCACACTATTGTATTGATACACTTCGCTTTGGCTATATTGATGCAATATTAGAAAGCATTTTTTTTTACGGATATAATCGTGTGAGCTGATAAAAAGATTATATCCTTTATTTTCCGGATTTTTTAAAAATTTTTGTCCATTTTTTTCCTCGGTTTTTAGTTATTTTTATTTTTATTATTATTATTTTCTTTGATTGTCAATTGAAATCACTTATTTGTAAAAAAAGATGATGAAAGTTCTCTACCCCCTTCCGTGCACTGTTTCATTATTAAACGTAATGGTTTTAAAAATTAAATCAAAATTGAACTCGCATTATTTTGAATTAGAGAATTCCAGTATTTAGAAATTTCCAACTTTCCTAAGTATTTTTGATATCTGCGAACTGTTGGCAAGTGAGGATGTTGGTATTACCTTTGCTGTTGGAATTTTTCCTGCGAATGAGAATATCTCTAATACTGTAATTAGTCCTTCTTGTGAGAGTTTTCCTGAAATGAACAATGCAATAAAATTGAGTGACTATCTACACTATATGTATTAAAAGGAAATACATTCAAATATTGAGATTTGCATCAATAATGAAAAATTTCACAGTAATAAACCCATTTGAGCCCTAATTTGCATTCTCAACTATGTTTAATCAAGACATGATTGAGAATTAGACAAGTGTTGTTTAATGTTCCTAGCGTAGATGATACATTTTTAAAATCTTTTCTACATTATTTATATGAAGAAACAATGCATGGAATAGACTACGAAGTGGCCAGTAAGCTTTTGATGCAGTAGTAGAAAGGTATAAGGTATTAACTTTAAAATCAAAATGCGATAATGTATTTGTGTCTGTTCTAAGTTAAAAAAAATGGTTGATACGATAAACAGCACAATTTTTAGAATGTTTTCAACCAATTTCGTAGCTGAAACTTCCAAAGAGAATTTGATTTCTTCCAAATGACTGAAATGGTCTGAAAAGTACATAAAATTAGCATCTGAAGTTCTGTAATAAATATTTTTTTTAAATTAAAATATTGTTCCCTTTAAAAATTAGTTTTCGAATCTGTAATTAAATGTGTTTTTCAAGTCTTATAATAAAATAAATGAAGTGAAAAAAAATTAAAAATAAAAATTCTATTCTATGTAAACAACTATAAAAGTTTATTTTTTCATCCAAAATTATAAACGCTTCAGCTATAGTTTAACAGAATTACGTAAACAGTGTAACAGAATTACGTAAACCTAACAGTTGAAAAATAGTGTAAACTGAAATTTTTTTGTAATGTTAACGTCATTTATATCAATGTATTTAATGTAAAAGTCATTTATGCAATGATTCCAAAATTTATGCATTAGATGATCATTACAGAACATTAGAACATTTTATTCACTTTTTTTATTCTTGTTATCCAACTCTGAGATAAACAACAAGCTGTGAAACTTTTTATTCACCTAAGTACCAAACGTTTAATTTTACTACCACTTCTATGCATAGATCTCTGAAAAAACTTTTTTGTATTTTGTATTTAAAATTATTTTATGATATTCATTAAAAAATAATAAAAAATATTCTCATAATTATGAATTTAATATTAAATTTTAAAAATGATAAAATGAATTTGGTTTTAGTCACATATAGCATTTCTCCGTTGAATTAAAAAAAAAGGCACCGTTTGATCTTTTAGATTTTTTGCTTTCTAATTTTTGTTCGTAAAATGAGTGGATTTTTATATACATAGGGAAAAACACATACTGGAATATTTCCTGACAGAATTTAGATATTATTTTAGAAGAATTTGCATAAGGAAGTAAATTAAAACTTTTTTTAGAATTTTTACATACTAATAACAATTATTGACCAGGCTATTCTTTTGTTTTTCAATTTAATTTGAAAAGTAAAGCTGTTTTAATTTTTTTTAATATTATTGATCATAGTTTTATGTTTATCTTCAACTAACATTTTAATAGTGAACAAGTGATAATTACTGATTTATAATGTATATCAAGGATAATAAAGAACATTTATATTTTTATGACAATTCTAAATAACGAATTTAAAGCTCTACATTTCGTTTGTATGAGTAGCATTGGAAAATATGACATAAGAATCATATGATAAAAAAAATGAAATAATTTTTATGACAATTCTAAACAGAAATTTAAAGCAGAACATTTGATTTGTATTAGCAGCATTAGAAAATGTGACATAAGAATCATATGACAGAAAAAATAAAATAATTTTTTGACAATTCTAAACAAAAATTTAAAACTGAACATTTCCTTTGTATTAGAAGCATTGGAAAATGTGACATGAGAATCATATGATAGAAAAAATCATGAAATCTATCACTGATGAGCAGAAACAACATTTTTTTTATCAGACGTTAGATAAGATTAAATCTTTTATTCGAAAATGATTTCATGCATACCTTCAAATATTATAAAACAACACCCACTGACGAGTTGATTGGTAAATAAGACAATCATTAGTACGCTATTGTTTAAATTGAAATCTTTATATCGTAGCCATTTATTTGCGTTTAATCAGGTTTAAAGTTACTTCAGTACAGAAGTTATTTTAATGCTGTAATTGTTTAACGAAATTCTTTGAAATTGTTGAAATGTCCTACGAAGCTAAAGGCGAATATTTATTCATTTGGAAAATAGAAAATTACTCCTTTTCTCCGCAAAGGAATAAAAAATTCGTGGCTAGTAGTCTGTTCTCAACAGAAAACATTGGAGACAGCCTTTGGCTTATGTATTTATACCCTAAAGGTAAAGATGAAGAATCTCAAGGCTATGCTTCTGTTTATATAACGAGATGGAAAAATGATATCCGAACAGATGTTAACCATATTGACATAAAATTCGAAATCGTTGCACCTGACGGGAACATTTTAATATCAAAGAAAAATGAAAATGTATCAATCGAAAGAGGAGGCGTCTTGGGGTGTAGGAAGTTCTTTGACATTAAAGAAATGACACTTGCAATGGAGGACTGGAAAGAGGATACGTTGGTTGTACATTGCACTTTGTTCAACCGAAAGCAGTTAATATGTGAAGCTCGAACAAAAGTTGAGGTTGATCACTGCATTTTCAAGTGGGACGTTAAATTTCAAAATGGTTCCAACTCAATCCTACCACTGAAAAGAGAGTTTTGTTTGTGTGACACGTTAAACTTTGATATAAATTTAGCTGCACTAAGTGATGATATCAAACTGTCAGTAAGTAAAAGAGATAATGATATATTTGTCCTAAAATTATCTTGTAGGGTTTCTTTGCTCGATGCAGACGGATCTGAAGTAGTTTCAAAAAGGGCAATTCATATGTTTGAGGAAAAAAACAACAGTGTTTGGGAATTCCCAACTTTCATAAGTGTTAAGTATTTAAAAGACAATAAAGGCAGTCTTCTGCGAAGCGGTGTTTTTTCCTTACTTTTTGAATTTTATTCATCGAAAGAAGAAGATCCTGTAGTAGTTACTAATCCAATTTGTGTTAGTTTAATAGAAAAATACGTTATTATAACTTTAAGAGAGAACTTACAGCAAATGTATAGCAGTAATTTGCATACAGACATACAGCTGCAGATCGAGGGCAAGCTATTTCAGGCACATAAATCAGTTTTGGCTGCTCGGTCACCTGTTTTCAAAGCCATGTTTGAACTGGACATGATTGAAAGTCAAACTGGCGTTGTTAATATTCCTGATGTGGACGCTGACGACTTCGGGTTGTTTTTAGAATTCTTGTACACCGCGACAGTTGAAAATATAGATTACGAAACTGCAAGCAAACTAATAATATTAGCTGATAAATACCAAATAACATCATTAAAGGTTTATTGCAGTAAAGTTTTAAAATCACATTTAAGCGTAGAAAACGTATGTGAAGTAATACATTTAGCTGACATGCTCAATTGTAAAAGTTTAGAAGCTGCTGTCGTAGATTTTATTGCAGTACATGCAAAAGAAATATTAACTTCCCCAGAATGGATGAAATTGAGTGAGAAAAATTCTAAATTAGCTAGTGAAGTGGTATCAAAAATCGCTATAAATTTTGAAGTGGTTCCTAAAAAGAATCATGTAAGTATAGTAATAATTATAGTAGTAGTATAGTAATTAATTATAGTCTAAAATTAATTTTAACTTTTATTTACTTTCAACTTTTCTTAAGCTACTTTGTATTCTACCAATTTACCCATGAATGTTATAATTTTTATAAAGAAAAAGTTCTTAAAAAGTAAGAAAAAAAAAGATTTTTATGTGTTATTAAAATGATTAAATAAAAATTTCAGAAGTGAAGTTTGAATCTTCATACACTGCTTTATTGAAAAAATTTGGAATATATTTCCTTTTTAATATGTTGATAAGATATTGTTTAAATAAAAAAAGACATTATAATTGATAAAAGAAAAGTTTCTCTCTCTTTTTAATTTAAGTTTTTTTTATCTAATTTTTTAATTTACATTTAATAAAGGTGATTTACCAATAAAGCATTTATCTTTTTCCACTAATAAATAAAATGTTCGGTCATTGCGAAAGGATACGTATTTACTTAAAGTTATTACAATTATGAGTTATTTGCGAGCTAAATAGAATTTATTTATTCCATTAAGTTTTTTTTACAATGTTTTAAATATTTTAAAAACTGCATGAACCACGTTTTAGGCCATATGTGGTTTACTAAATGTAAAACGTACCAAAAGTTCCTGATCAACACTATTATTGCAAAAACTGAACAGAAATATAAATAAAAATCCCAAAATAATATAATATGTATGAAAAAAATAGCCATGTGGTCAGCGTGAGCTGACTGAAACATACGAATAAACCAGTCACTGCTTTGATTCGAATATGAGTCTAACCTTATCTTGATTTTCTATTGGTGAATTGTCACATCTAGGATACTGTTGTTTTGTTAATAAGAATAGCGGTAGAAAGTTTGTACTTGATCAAACTTTGTACATTTACTTTTCTCTTTAGAAATGAGTAAAAGAGATGCATTTGCATTTATCGTAACTTTTCTTTGTGTTGTCAAAATAGAATTGGAATTAATTTATTATTCTTTTATATCTCAATATTGAACCTAAGTATCAATGATAACGCAAATTTTTTTTAAGGATATCACATCAAATCATATGATTTAAGGAGACAAAAATTAAAATTTAAACAGAATCAGTTAAATTTTTCGTATAAATTAAAGATTCTCGAATTTTCCTTTCTCAAAAACTAATCAACCAATTTCCTTCAAACTTTTAATTGCTTCATTTCAAATCTTGAGCTTTATGATTTTCAAGCTTGATCCAACATTACGTATCCTCTGAAATGTATTGCAATTTTTTATGATTATTAAAATAACTTTATTGTCTCAAAAATAATTTACAGCATATCTCTAATTTTTTGATTATTCTTTCAATCAATTAATAAATGCTAGCATAAAAATTAATTATAATTTTTATACATTTAATTGTAAAAATATCTTATTTTTTTACTTTAAAATTGAACCTTAAACAGCAAAAAAGATTGTCATATTACCGATATTATAACTTTTTTGCGTATCAAGCGTATTTTGTTATTTTATATCAGACCTGTAACATAACCGCTACTTTTGGCTACTTGGGTTTAATATTTTGGTAAATATTTCCTTTGTAGTCAATCGTTGGTGACTGGCGACCACTAACCTAGAGCTCCAGTTGACGGACGCAAGTTTGAACAACCGTGATCTGTTTAATCACTATTAATTAACCATGACGTGTGTACTGGTTTATTATAATCTCTTGTTTTATAAACCAAAATTTACTTAGCTGTAAAATAGACAAAATTGGTTTATGCAGTAAGTATCATTGCATGCTATGATACAGACGATTACACTTACATTGGTGACGATGGTACTTACAATGAAATTGGTACAAATCTCAGGTATTTTATTTTTTTATATTTAGACCTGTAACACAGTCGCTACTTTTGGAGAAAGATGTTTAATATTTTGGTACCTATTTTTTATGTAATGGTCACTCTTTGGTGACTGGCGACTTCATACCTACAGCACAAGTTAGGGGACACAATAGTTCAAACAAGCGTAAAGCGTTAAATTACTTTTAATTAACCATGATCTGAGCATTAATTCATCATAATCTATTGTTTTATAAGCGAAAATTTACAGAATAAAAAAATAGACGAAAGTTGTTTCTATAATCAATATCATTGAAAGCTAAAAAAAATTTTAAAAATAATTTAGTGTTGGCACTGATAAAACAAAAAATTATTCAAATTGAAGAGTGTCACTTTGGGTACCACAAAGAAGGTACCCGAAAGTGCGTTTTAAATAAAATTTAAGGTTAATCTAAAACATTTTTTTTTTCAGAAATGAGATAGTTTCTCAGCTTACTTGAAAATATTTGAAGAACGAGAAATATCCAAGTAACGCCATTAGACGTGTCTGGTGATAAAGAAGGATTCTTGGAATTTATAAGATTTTAAGTAGTTTAGAGCACTTGATTGTTCTTAAAAATAAATGTATTGTTTTCACAAATCAAATGTATTATATTTTAACTATTGTTGAAAACAAAATATAGTATACTAACAGATATTTTTTTAGGTTTAAATATCATTACACATAATACATACATTATACCAGAAGATCATTATACATATTTTTCATTGTCAATAATTTGAGCTATGTGATCAACACGTATAAATGATTAGTTGAAAAATTATTGAATTACAATTGATTTAAATACATACATATTCCTTTTCACTTCGAATTGGAGCATAGGGCTTCTATCATTGCTTTCCATCTCACTCTATTTGTAGCCAGATATTTTGCCTCTTTCCATGTCTTTCCGATTTTTTTTTTCTATTCGCTTGCAATTTTCCTGTATCAAGTATTTGTAGACCTTCCTGTTTTTTTATTGCCTTGAGGGTTCCAATCAAAAGTTTGTTTCACTTGAAATTTTTCAGGTTTACGTAGAGCATGACCAATCAATTTACATTTACGTTTTTTAATTTACAGAGCAATTGGCTTCTGTTTTGCTTTTCTACAGCTTTCTGTTCTAATTTCTTGGAGCTGCTTGGCACTCAAATTATAACTTTAAGAGAGAACNTCGCTTGCAATTTTCCTGTATCAAGTATTTGTAGACCTTCCTGTTTTTTTATTGCCTTGAGGGTTCCAATCGAAAGTTTGTTTCACTTGAAATTTTTCAGGTTTACGTAGAGCATGACCAATCAATTTACATTTACGTTTTTTTAATTTACAGAGCAATTGGCTTCTGTTTTGCTTTTCTACGGATTTTTGTTCTAATTTCTTGGAGCCGCTTGGCACTCAAGATTCTTCTTAAGAAGTTGTCTTTAAAATGTTATTTTTATTGCAGCGTCATGTCTCAGATCCATATAGTAGGAGAGATTTAACATCACTATTTGAAAATTCTAATTTTCGTTGATTTTTCTATTTTTTTGTTTCTCCAGAATTCATTGAAAATAGCATAACAGCTTTGAGGCTTTGTCTAATCTATTTCGTAATATATCTTCATCAGTTCCTCCTTTGTTTTTAATTATACTTCCAAGATACGTAAAACTGCTTACCTCCTCAAGTTTATTATTTTCTAAGAATAGTTATGTCATTTAATTGTTTAGGATTAATTTTCAAAATTGTATTTTTATTTTGGTTGATAATACCTCGACGTTGAAAATGTTTGTTTGCATGTATTGAAGGGTCAGTAAACATAAGTATTCTGCATAATCAAGATCGGAAAGTTATTCAGCAATGTTCTACCTTCCGTTTTATTCTCTGATACTCTGTTCATAATCCAGCCAATAGTAATTTAAAAGATTGTTGGAGAAAGTGAACAAGCCTGTTTGACACCAGAATAAAACCTAAAAGATTCTGATTGTTGACTGGTATGGATAACTCAAATATTGTAATTTTTATATATATTTCTGATAAAATTTATAAAACATTCGGAAAAAATGGGTTTAGTAACCTTCGTACATTTCATGCAACTTTTCTGAGAAGAATTCCTTCCCAGTGTATCAAAAATGATCATTAGATCAAATTGGGTACTTGCACATCATCAATATACACTTAAGTACTTGCACTACCCTATGACGTCATAGCCAGCTGTACATTTATAAGCAAAATGGTGTGTTAAAGTTGAGCTAAGTTTCTCCACATAAGTTAGAATGTTAATTAACATGAAGTTATTTAAATACCACGCCGTATCATACATCGAATTTGATAAAATGTAATTGTTTCTCGTATATGTATTTTACATAATTTAGATTTATTATTTGGTTATCTTTTTTACTGTAACCGTGATATAATTTTGTTTTGTGTACCTGGCAACTTCGATGCATAATTAGTTTGATTACGTTCTGCAAGGTTCCGTGCATGTCTTTGTGTTTTGTAAGAAATATATATTGAAAGAAGAGAAATCTTTGTGAAAGAATATAGAATGTGTCACTTAAGATAATTGATAATTGACGGACTTGGCTTGCTCGAAATAGAATAAAAAGAACAGTTGCTAACGTAAAAGCTTCCACGTTTCAGTAATTAATCAGGATCGAGATACTCACCCTACGTCACTTGCAGGAGTCGCATTTAGCCTAATTAGAAAAGCCCACTTAATAAACATGCGCTGAATAGCAGACATTATTTTCTAAAGTTTACTTATCAATTATTAAGCTCTAAAAGCTTACAAAGTCGGATACTCGAGGAATAATTATTCATTATTTAATTAATGCTAGTAATAGTTTTTTTTTAAATATTTTTTTCTGGAAAAACATTGCAAATTCTACAATATGTTTTTTTGCTTTCGATGTAAACAATAGAGTTTAAAATGATTTGTAAAGGGTACTTGCCCCTTTCTTAGATTCTTTTGACGCCGGGTTCTGTACAAGATTTCTTAACAAAATAAACGATCTGGAAAAACATAGATATATATTTATTAGCACAAGTAAATTACAGAAAAAAATATATGCCACTAGATGACAACTGACATGCTGCCTTTTTTTAAGTGTGATGACTACAACTCCTAACGCGCATGCGTTAGGATTGTTCTGTTTTTGGCGGTTGCATTTTCGACATTGCTCACACCTTGCGTACTTTAAGAAATATAAAGGAAAGTACGCAATCAAAGTCATATTAGTGTATAAAGTCATAGTTCGAGTCTCTGAACAGATTTTACTACCCGGCCACATCGGGTTTTTTGTTCTTGACAGTTCGCCATCGAAGTCTCTATTGATGTTGACTCTTCAATCAAGGAGGATCTCTTTTCATCTTCTACTTCCAATGGATAAAGTCTTTGGTATGGTCGAACAAGTTCTCCATTCATAGTTTTTATTCGTGCTACACGAGAGTTTCTATTAACTCCAGGATAAAGTTCCAGTATTTTAGCCATAGGCGATTCTAATCTTTTAGCATTGTCATTTCCAACAAGAGTAATTTGGCCAACTTTAAGGGTGGTGGGGAGTTTGTTTTTTGAATGATTTTTCAATTGTCCCAAGTACTCAATACAGAATCTTTTCATTATATCTTCTTTTAATTTCTGGCGATAGCGGAAGCGTTTATTCAGATGTGCTGAATCATATACGTCTAGTTCAGGTAAACTTCCAAATCGGATTTCTTTCAGAAATAAAGATGGAGTTAAAGGATGTAAGTCGTCGACATCTTCGGAAAGATAATTTAGAGCCCGATTATTTATAATGCTCTCAGCTTCGCACAAAATGGTATACAGTTCATCAAAATTTAGCCGAGCTCATCCCAATACTCTTCGCAATATTCCCTTGGTCATTCTAATAAGACGCTCCCACCATTCGCCCCACCACGGGGTGGTAGGAGGGATGAACGTCCACTTAATTCTTTGTATTGAAGCTATTTCTTCGATTTTTTGCCAGTTAATGGATTGGAAAATATTATTAGCTCCTATAAAGTTTTTGCTGTTGTTAGAGTAGACATGAGAGGGTCTTCCTCTTCTTGAAACGAACCTTCGGAAAGCTAGTAAGAGGGTTTCAGTGATCAGTGATGGAACAAGTTCAATGTGTACTGCTCTGATTATTGCACACGTAAGTAAAACAAACCATGTTTTTTCTCCATTACTTAAATACAGTGGTCCTCCTAAATCTATGCCTGTTATTTCAAAAGCAGCAGCGTTTTTCACACGTTTCTCAGGTAAAGGAGCTGGCAATACCTCTGCATTCTGAACTTTAAATGGTTGGCAGTTTATACATCCCCTAATGACTCGACGAATAGTTCCTCTAAATTTTATTACCCAGAATTTTTCTCTTAATAGAGTCATTAAGGTCTGAACTCCAGCGTGACTCAACTTACGATGATGTTCAAGTATCTGCAAATCAACAACAGGATGTTTACTCGGAAGCACAATGGGACGTTTAAAATCATCGGTGTCTTCTTGTTGAATCAAGCGGGTGGTCTCTCGAAGTACACCAGATTCATCCAATTGTGACTGTAATGATTTCAAAATAGGATTAGAAACGGTTCCAAAAGCTTCTAATTGTATGGCTTTCAATAAAATTACTTCAGCTTGCTCTATTTCTTCAACGGTGAGTGTAAGAGAATACCTTTGTAACCTCGGCTTCCTAACATTAGAAGGGAAACGCATCACCCAAAAGATTGTTCTTAGAAACTTAGGGAATGAAGAAAACTTGTTTTGATACCATATCTTCTCTGTATTTACAATAGCAGTTTTCTTCTTCTCTTGACTTAAAATTTCCTCGTCCATCTCAATTTGAACTGATTTAGGCCATCTTTCCTTCGGATACTTTAGCCATTCCGGGCCCTGTAACCATCTTGATTCAATTAGGTGTTTGATGGTACAACCTAGAGACGGTATATCTGCAGGATTATATTTTTCAGGTATGTAATGCCAATCATTAGGATGAGATATAGTTCGAATTTCCTTTACTCGATTGGTGACAAAAGTAGCCCAATAATCTTCTCTTTTTACCCACCCAAGAGCATTCGTGGAATCAGTCCAATAGTATGTTTCAATATCTGATTCTTTTATGTCTTTTTTAACATTCTCAGCTAGGCGAGCAGCAATTAAACACGCTAAAAACTCAAGTCTCGGGATCGTTATAGCCTTCAATGATGATACTCTGTTCTTAGCTCTGACTAATTCTCAGGACACGGATTCTTCGGTTTCTAGTCGAATAAAAATACAAACAGCATAAGCATATTGACTGGCATAAGCAAACACATGAAGGCTACAGTGTTTCAAGGGAAAAGTTCTTTTCATCAATCATCTAGAAATAAAAATGTCTTTCAAAAGTACAATTTGATTTTGCCAATTCAGAAATTTCTTTGCGATATCTTTAGGCAGTTCTTTATCCCATGGAATATTTTGTTTCCAGCAATCTTGGAGAAGTAATTTTGGCAACAACGTAAAAGGATAACGGATAATAAATTTGTTGAGCAACAGCCAGAATTTTCCTTTTTGTAACTGGAAAAGGATCTTTAGTTAAGTTATAATTTGAATTGCAGTACAATACATCTTTTGATAAATCACAGTAAAGTCCCAATGCCGAAATTAAATTTCCTTCTTCCAGCTTCTCTGTCTTTTCAGTGATTATAGTTGGAATAGGGTCAGTCTCCAAGAAAGAGTAATTTTTCTGCCATCCTCTCAAATCAAATTTTACAGATAATAATAATTCTTTAGATTGTTCCAAAAAAATTTCACTGTCTTCAATTCTGTCGAAACTGGCGAGACAATTGTCAACATGAAAAAAGTCCTGTAACAACAAAGCAGTGTCCTTCAATTGAGGTGGAGCCTTCGCTAAGTGGTGTTTAAGAGTGGCGCTTAACAAAAGTGGACTACATGTGAGTCCAAAAACAACCCTGCAGTGTCTGTAAATTTTTAGTTCATTCAAATCGCAGTCTATGATCCAGAGAAATCTTAAATAGTTCCTATCTTCTTTAGACACACTGACCTGTAAAATGGCCTACTTAATATCCCCGGTTACCGCAAATTTTTTCATGCGGAAACGAGTTTAAACAGTGGGAATAAGTTCTATAAAATTAGGCCCTTTGACAAGACATTCATTCAAAGAGGTTGAATTATTCGTTCGTGCTGAAGCATCGAAAACGGGTCTTATTTTTGTCGTTGATGAGTTTTTAATTACTGCTCTATGGAGAAGAAAATGTCCAGGTAGAACCTCGTTATCCATATTCACTTCTTCAATAATTCCTTCATTCAGTCAAGCCAACAAGACATCTTGATAAGCTTCTAGGATGTGAGCTGCTTTCAATCTGTTAATTATTGTTCGCAATCTTCTTTCTGCTAATTCTCTCCCTTCAGAAAGTGCAGGGTGTAGCTGAAGCCAAGGTAACTTCACTTCATACCTACCTTCATTGTTAAATTTTAGATTGCTTTGAAAATGTTCATAAGCAGCCTGGCAAAGCTCAATTTTCGTTTGACTTTCGACTGGGTCTGTAATTTCTATTCTTTCTAAACTCCACATGTCTGGCAGGCTGTCACTAGTGAGTAAGGATATGATTGACAAACAGGATTCCGAAGCAGGAGACAAGTGTGGAATTTTCCCCATGATTGTCCTACCCAGGTGAGTACCAACTGCAACCGGCCCAGCTTCTAAATTCTGAATTTAACCGTTTAACAGCTTCCCAGCAACATCTACTCCTATCAGTAGCTGAATCTCAGAATCGACTGCGCAAGAGGAACGATAATCCAAATCAGTTAAATTTATTCCTATTTTCCGAAGTTCTTTCATCCATGGTCCATGAGGAACTTTCCTTATGTCAGCGCATATCTTTTCTTGTTCTAATACTTCGAAATTACAATTGTGAGCTTCATCCAAACTTGTTAAACATACTCTAAAACAGCGATGCGTTTGCTGCGGAGATTTAAGGCCAACAAATAAGCTATGTATTATCGGAAGTTCTCCTAAACTCTCATAGTTCATCAATTTTACAGTCTTTGCACTAATATAGGAATGCTGGCTACCTGTATTAATCAGGGCCCGTATAAGGTGTTTAGTATTTTTAGCTCTAAGATATACCTGTAAAGTTTGTAACAATACACTATTTTTATTCGACTGAATTGTTAGTATTTGATCTTTCGAATATTCACCAGGTTTAGAGGTATCTGCTATTTTGGATTCATTGGAAAAATTTGGACACATTATTGTACAGTGAAATTTACAGCAACAAAAACACTTTATTTTACAATAACACTCCTTAGAAACATGACCCTTTTTTAAACATTTGAAACAGCAACCAGATTTCCTAACTAGCTCTCGTCTTTCATCCAAACTCTTATTTTTTGCTTCATTGCAATCTGAAGAATAATGTTTTTTAGCACAAAAAATACACTTTCTTTCAAAATTATCATTTGTATTTAACAGTCCTTAAGCAGTAGGAATATCATATTTGTTTTCATTAAAATTACGCTTATAATATTTCTTATGTGTTTCTCTTTCATGATCAAATGTATTTTTAGCAATGGCTAATCCTTGTTCTCCTTCTACTTCTGATTTCAAAAATTCCAAGAGAAGAGTTAATTTATTTACTTTCCCCTCTTCCCTATTTTTTACAAAAAGAGAACTAATATGGCGCTGCCATGTTTTCAAAATGTCATCTGACAAACAGCTTTCTACCAGTGGGTACAACATTGCTGCATATATGTCCGAAGTAACTCCTAACGTACCTAAGGCTCTTAAGTACGCTTCGATGTTATCATAAAGTTTAACCAAATTGCATTTATTATGATTTAAAACTAAACTCAGCAGTTCTCTTACTTCAATGAGAAGTTCATCTTTCCCAAAACGCGCTTTTAAGCATTCGATTGCAAGAGGATAATTCGAAGCGGTAGGGGAGAAACTCTCCACAAGGTCACGAGCACGTGATTCTTCTGCAGTGCTCTGAATTAAATAAACAAATTTGTCTTCTGCCGATAAATCTGGGTCATCATTAATTTTTTTAAACAAACTCCAAAGCCCAATCCATCCTTTAATTGAACCATCATACTTGGGCAATTCTATCTTCGGTAATCTAACAGTCTTTTTATTTACCAATTCAGAAAAGGAATCATTATTATTTATAAGCGGTTGCTGACTAAGCGATTCTTATAGCGCATGCGTTAGGAAAGTTCTGTTTTTGGTGATTGCATTTCCAACATGTTAATGATGTAAAATTTTTATAATTTTCAATTTAAAATTTTTAGACAGTTATTAAATGAAATAATAAAAAATTGTAACTAGTTATTAAAAGTTACTTTTTCAAGTGTATGATAATAATAATAGTTAATAAAATAATAGTAATATTAAAATAATTTCAATATTGATAAACTAATCATTATTTCTCACGATATTTATTCTGTGCAAAAATTTCACTATTCGTTTAAATATTTCACGTGATATAGCAAAAAAAGTTTATCCAATGAATAACCTTAAATATATTGTTTATTGCTTATGAACCATTTAAGCTTATAATGATATCATTTTTAAAATGAATTATCAAATTATAAGACATCTGAAGAAAAAAAGTCGGTTATCGAGCTATGCAAATTAAAGTTTCATTTTCTCTTTTTGCTTATTAAGTAAAGTTAAATTTAAAAAAAATAGTTTATATTCAAAATTTAAATAAAAATTAAAATGCATTTAAAATTTTTCATTTATATTTTATATTATGTTACGTATTTCATAGAAAAATAAGCAAATATTTTTAATATAGAAAAACAATATAAAATTTGCAGTTGGTTCGACAATGTTCATTAAATATATTGCCTATCCTTGACGAAAGGAGAAACTGGTGCGTCTCTGTACTCTCAACGGCATCTGTAAGCATTCTACCAGGGTACAGTTTATTTAAATACTATATATTATTACTATTATTAATACTATATACTTTATATATTATTTTAAATACTGGGCAACAATACAGTACCAAGTCGGTATTCTTAAAATGAGTTTTCAAAATATCAAACATGAAAATTTTTATTTTTTCTATATGACTTTTGCTTGTCTATCTATACCAACTTCAAATATTTTGTACGCCATTTAAATTTTGCGATTTCAGCGAATTCTAATAAAAAAAAAAATAACTACCACTAAGTAAAGTAAAAAGGGTTTTATTTTCACTTTTTTCTGGAAAATCCCTATCTTCAATAAAAATGGGATTCCTTTTTAGGAATGAGGAAATCTATCTCTCTATATCACTACCCTACAATAAAGATGCTTTCAGTTTTTGATATTTTCTTTTTAATTTTTCAAGAAATACCTAGAAAATCATTTTGAAACTTCAGAGATGTTTAGTTAATGTGATTTTGAAACTCAGCAATAAGGTTTCAAGCTTTCAAAGGCTTAAGGGACCGAAAATGAATATCGAAAAAACATTTTTCTGAACACCCTATACCAGAAAATCAAGCAATAACCATGTATCGATTATTTTAGTAATTCGCTGTAAACTTCGCTAAAATATTTATGAAAATATGGATTTTTTTATGAAAAGAAAAAATCTAATTTTTTTGTCTTAAGTTTTTGTGCCATAACTCTAAGAATATAAAAAAAGAAAATTAAACAAAAATTTTAAAGCAAATAAAAATAAATTGGAAAATTATTATTTTAAAATGAGAAAAACTGAGCAAGATATGATTATTTAAAGCCGTTCATTTACGCATGCATGCAAAAAGTTTCAAGCAATTTTCTAAGTTGTTTTTGTACCTTAAAAAAAAACGAAAGCTAAAGACTTAAAGGAGTTTTCCACAAATTTTGTTTTTATTTAATTAAATTATGAAGATTTATTAAAAATTTCATAGGCATTATGGGGGGTCATCCCCATTAAATGCATGTTTTCTTCACAGGTTTTTGCCATTATTCCATCACATTTTGGTGCCAGGCTGTATACCTTACAATGCAAGTAATAAATATTTACTAAAATTTATCTTTTGTATGGAGTTATATTTGAATAAACGAATTTTATAATTAATTGTAAAAAGTTTTTAATTCGCTTAAAAAGTTCTCGAAATATGGCGAAATACATTAAAAATTAAATTAACATTACGGGTTCAAACTTTGGATCGCAATCCTGACCAAACTATTAAGACCATATTTTCCAGATAGCCGCTACCACCTATATTTTAGGAGAGGGGGGGCAGAATTTCGAATCTGTTAAAATAAAGGTGTGTTTAGTCAGAGAAAGTATGCTTTTGTGCCTGATTTCGTAACGCGAAATATCGTCTGCGCTGCGCTAAATAATTAGCATATTTGAAGTTTATTAAGATTGAGTCCTAAAACGTAAAGGTCGGATCATTATATTAAAAGTTATTCTAGGTGGTCGGTTTTTTTTTTCTTGTGGCTCACTGTGCATATCTATAAACATTCTGCTTTATTTATGTAGACTTGCCTTTTTCGCATGTATTTCATGAAAAATAAGAAGCTGCGTTATTATTATTATTAAACTATATTTCATTGTTTTGTGTAAATGCAGAAGTTTTTTAGATATTGGATAACAGTTATTGTATTTTTGAGCACATATGATATAATGTCTGTCTTGAGCAACAGGGATTTTTATCAAGCGTGATTAAAAAAAACCTTCCAAGAATAAGCTTTATTCGTTATGCTAAAGTCTAGAATTACAGCGAGATGGCGTATTGACGATCTAGAATAGCAAATAACTCAATTTTCTGCAAGAATTTTTAGGTAGGCAGGTACTTTGCATTAGAGTTGCACAATATGCTATTGGTGATGATCTTGGAAACATTATTGGGGATGATCATACCATCACGATTTTGATCCTCTGCACAGGTTATCTATTTCGTGACGCTTCTTCCTCAAATTAGACATAGTCCGTGAAGCAGACGGTAATTTTCTCCAGATCTCTATACCCATGGTACTGACAGTGAATTGTAGTTTCACTGCACTACTCATAACTTTACCCATACATTGTTAAACTAGAGACCGGATGCGATTAGACATGGGTGAAAATGACGACTTTTCGATGTGAAATCCTTTCCCTCAGACACATCTTCATTTTCTTGGAAACTTAATCTTTCAAACTGCTATCCTTTCTTCTGGAGAAAGGGGATACCCCTTTGCTGGGGGAATAACTGACAAAAGCCTGAGGGATGGAAAGAAACGCAGGTCCTCTTCTTTGCGAATTCTTTTTTATGCAATGTGTTTATCAATGGTTTATGGCAGTGGTCGGCAAACTT